TAGGGTTTTAGGGTTTACGGATTTAGGGTTTAGGGGTTTAAGGTTTAGGGTTTTGGGAACGACAAGCCATCGCAACCGTCAGTCTATTCGCCGTACTGGGGTCAGTAGGGAAATTGGGAATATGTTATATAAGGATTATGTAAGGATTACGTTTTTTGATTCCTGTATTCCGTACTAACCCCCAGTAAGTCACATGGGCCCGGGCAATGTAACCCAGCGCCCAGGCAGCTGACTCTTTCACAGAGGGGTCAAACTCCTTCCCAGGAGCTGAGGACAGACCGCCCCTCCCGGACTCATTGAAGACAATCTCTGGCTTGCGGCCTAGACTCTGCTTACACTAGCCTCACATTCACAGATGCACTCTAGCAGCAATCCAGTCAAGTCGAGACTCTTCAGCTAGCTACTGGTCACAAACGTCCATCGGTCAGTACATCCGTCCTCCAGGCATAAGACCAAAGCCTCGAGCGCACCAGAGTCGATGACAGCCTCGCAACACAAGAATGCACGATGGTGCAAACTACGGGCTCCCAGTATGGGCCCTTAATATACCTTTTACATATAGTCCCCCTTAAGTAGATAGAATATGGCTTTGGGTACATTATAACAAGTTCCCCATATACCCCATCTTCTATCTACGTAGGGGGGACTATACCCTATAAACTATAAACCCCTACAAATCCAATTACGGGCCCATAGTTAGCTATCCCAATGAGCCTTGGAGTACCAGCTTAAAGGGGGCACGTTGTCACTCTCCGAATGCACCATGCTAGAGGCCATGAGAATAAAGATGGAGGGTTGCCAAATTGGGGGTACCCTTTTGGGGGTCTCAAAATAAGGATAAACATAATTTGTGGTCTGCATTGGCGTTCCCCTAGTTTGAGAATCTACCAAATAGGGCTTGGTACCCACGCCTGCGCCAAGGGCGGCGAATGCTTGGCGACGGCGCGCAGGACGAAGGCGGCAGCCTTCTTGTAGTAGCCTGACATGTTCTCAGGTGGGAACTACGGTCACCCGACACTTTCGCCTACTGCAAGCCTATCACTCTTAGGCTATCTTCTCCTCTCTTTTGTTCTTGTCACTTAGTTCTTGGTCAGTTTTTGCTCGACCTCCTTCCTTGCAAGGCTTGTGTTCTGCTGGCCCCTCCCTGGGAAGTTATATGACCCAGTTTCCATTTCATGTTCCATTGTCTTTTCCCTTCCATTTTCCATTATGGGGTAAGGTAATACCCCCATACATATCCCTATATCCGACCTTAAAGGGGCCAACCTTGTTTGTCCGTTTCATGTTCCATTTTCTTGTCCGGTTGATCCTATTCCCTAAACCCTAAAACCCTAAACCCTAAAACCCTAAACCCTAAAACCCTAAGCCCTAAACTCAACCCCCAAACCCTAAGCCCTAAACCCTAAGCCCTAAACCCTCAGCCCTTTTGAACCCTAAACCCTAAACCCTAAACCTCAATCCCTGAACCCTAAATCCCCAAACGATTCTCCATTATCGAGGTAATGTCCAACCCCAAGGAGGGTCTCCCTGGGATGCTGCTCCCTCCGCGCAACATTAAACGGGATGTAGGTGATTATGTAGGGGTTCCCCAAAATTGGGGATACCATTTTGGGAGTTCCCTTAATGAGGACTATAGTATGTTGGCCTCTATGTTGGGGTACCCCTATTTTGGGAAACTCCTATATGGGGATATGTAGGGGTCGGGCTTATGGATACTCAGTACTCTCTTTTGCCAGGCATTGCCAACCTGTCAACAAGCACAAGTTCATGGCGTGACTCTCTCAGATTCACGCAAGCTGACGTCCAAAATCATGACAATTAATTCGAAAATCCAAGGAGCCCTCATGCTCTCTCACCGCAGCCCAGGGAGTAAAGTAACCTATGCAAAGCTGCCCTCAATCCAAAAAGAGACACTATCACTACCCCATGTCCGTTGACACATTTCGGTTGACAACATCCCTGTGATTCCAAGTTCCCTGAAGGGCCCTTAACCGGTGAAGAGCAGGACATCCTCTGCCTCACCTCACAACGGCGCCTATTGCAATTTAGGGTTCAGTGTTTAGGGTTTAGAAAGTTTTGTTTGTACCCTCTTGGAGAAGCGTTTGCGCTCACATTTTGGTTCATCCAAATGGCAACGGATATGAAGCCTCAAGCCTCCCACAAAAAAAGCCCCCCCACAGGACCCCGACGCAACCAGGCCCCCCCTTTAGACCCAAAGGCCAGGAAGAGAATAGAGACTTGATCCAAGATGGCTCTCTCTTTTGTTCTCTCTGTCTCTATCTCTCTCTCTCTCGCTTTTCTTCTTCTTCTACGGGCTATGCAAGACCCTAAGGCCTTGCTGGGGCGAACCCCGAGCCCTCGCAATGTCCAATGCTCCGGTCTGCCCAGGAGGACCGGAGAGCTTGCCATTAGGAACGGAATAGGTTTCAAGATCTCTCTCGCTCTCTCTCTCTCTGTCTTTTCGCATTCTCTTTCTTTCGTTCTCTCTTTCTCGCTCCCTCTCTCTCTCTCTCGCGCCCAAAATGTCTCCGCTCCACGGTCGGGTACCCCAGAGGACCGAATCACAAACAATTCCCGGCCATTACCCAGTACCCCGCACGACACCAAAGTTATCCACCGTTAACGCCAGCTACTTTGTGCATGGCCCGGATTTGGTCGCACCTCCTACTCCATGAGGCTGTGACACTGGGTTCAGCGCACGGTGGAGGCGCATTTTCCAACAATGCTACGACGCTAAACGGGACACATACTCGAAACAGCTTTGCCCGCCTCCCCGTACATGCATACTGCACAATGCAGAATCTGGAGTGCTCAGGGGGTCTCAGCTCACAACAAACATCCCAGGACGAACCCCACCACCAGTAAATAGGTACCTCAGGCCTTACCACGATGTTTCATCATTATCATGGGGTCAAGCTTGGAACATACTGTAAACTGCCCCCACTGCGATTCGCAATGCCACACCTGATGCAGCAACTGTACAAACTGTTTCACGCATTCACTCAGACTCAGTCCATTTTCAGGAAGTGGTGCTTTCCGCGTACATGTTGGCACTTTCCTCCTTACAAAGGCTCTGCACTCTGTTGTTCCTTTGGTCACCTGGTACACGGCTGATGCATCGTCCCACAAGGTAAGGCCAGCAGTTCATTTTCACGTATTGTCCGAGATTGCAGCTCCCAAGCGCCACATTCTCCGGGTCTAGAGGGTAGGTGTCACGCACCACCATCCAGCAAATCGTTGTCATTTCCATTCCAGCGTCGAATTTGCGCACTAGGCGCGCAAAAGGGTCTGAGTGGGTATCAGTTTTGTATCGAGCATCGAATTTGCGCCCTGCATCGCCCTGCGGCGCCCAACATATCTTGAGCGGTATCGGCTGTCTCCGGTCCTGCATTGAATTTGCGCACTGGGCGCCCAAAATGGTCGCGGTTGGTAGGTCGATCGGTAACAGTAGCTTGCACTGAATTTCCACCTCACATCCAGAAAATTATTGCCTGGCATGCTCTAAATTCTGGTTTTGTTGTCTCCCACTCTTCAGGTGAGAGAGCGAACCTCCATGAGTGGCATAATATGAGTTGGGATAAATTTCTCCTGGGAAATCAAACATGAGCTGCTTACGGGGCTTGGACTACGTCGCCTTAGGCCAAGGAGTCTCCTTTCCAGGGTCTGGCCTTTGCAGGAGTTAGTCGCAATAACTGGAGAGTGAGAGTATGCCGGCAGCTGAGGAGGGTGAAGCGTGCCAAGCATGTATGCTGCGAGGCTTCAGTCGGAAATGGGATTCGTCAATCTGCTACCTTACATTGTTCTCTCCAGGAGCGTTTCCAAGTCTGATATTTCTTTCGCTTCCAGAAAGGCGCACGCTTACCTGTGGGTATGATCTGGAAATGGCTGTACGGATGTGGCCAAGCCTCCCCGCCCCACCGCTCGTCCACCCCCCCGGAAAGGAGAGACTGCTCTCCCCCTGGGTAGCAGCCGGCGGAAGAATGGGCGCCCCCCACCAGAGGAAGCAGCGGAGACTTGAGCCAAATGGCTCCCTTTCTCCCTCGCTCCCTCTCTCTTTCTTCTTTCATTTGGGCTCTTGGGCTATGGAGGAAACCTGATGGGCTCCCCCGGGCTTCTGTGCCCAGCCCTTGTTGGGCTGTTTGGTCGGTTTCTACCCCTGGTTTCACATGGTTGGGTGCTGAATTTCAGGCCTCTCTCTCTCTCTCTCTCGCTTTCTCTCTATCTCTCTGCAAAGGTTTGCTATGGTGCCCAGTGGCGATTCTGTTGCGCCAGGGAGTAAACCAGCTGCGGAAGGATTTCGTGAGTGACTACCTGCAGGTCATAAGACACATGAACTGCTAGCCACAGCTCTGAACATCCGCTTCCCCGCCGACTCGGCCAGCTCCTCGGAATAGTTGGCCATCCGACCGAGGGCGAGAGCAGCAGACTGTTGTATCCTTGGCAAAGGACCGCTGCCGTCAACAATCGCTCACCGGACCACTGCCATTGACAAGTGTTATCTCTGGAGCTCAGCGGCGAAGCCACGGAGTCCAGAAGAAGTGGCCTCTTGGAGGCGATTCTTGATTACTACCATTCTACGCATAATTCCTCTTTTGAAGCTCCATATAATTCCTATATGACTCCTATATGAGATATTCCCTTATTCCGTACTAGCCCCAAGTAAGTCAAGTGGATCTGCCTGAGCAGGGCCATCACTCCAGCATTCGTCAGGGCATCGATGTTCTGCGGCCTAGCCAGAAGTTCCGTTCAAGCTCATTACACGACCGAGGCGCAGGGGGGGCCTTTCTGGGGGTTCTAAGGGAATAAAGGAAGTATTTATATACAAATATACATAGATATATTATACATAGCTATGAACACACACACACATATATAGATAGATAGATATCTTTATTTATTTGTGTAGGGGTAATATTCCCTTGTTCCCGACTACGCACCAATAAGTTCTTGCATGCCTGGTCGCAAGATCAGCGACAGTCTGCACAAAGCTCACGCGAGCCTGACAAATGGCAAGCTGTTGAATGCGCACCTTGGGTTTAGGGTTTATAGTCCACCTGAAGTAGATAAAATATGGCCTTGGGTATATTTTCATAAGATCCCCATATACCCCATACTCTATCTACTTGGGAGAATATAGTCTATGGGATTTAGGGCATGGCATGTAGAATCATTCAACGTTTGAAGAATTGTAGGCAAACACTGCACGGCCATATTCTGCAATGACATGAGACATCCAGGTTACCAGCTAGAACCGGTACCTTTTCCAGGCATAGACCACCCTCCCCCCATGCCGCAAGAGGTGCCAGGTATAGGTGGCATTCAGGGTAACCTCAATTCAAGGGAAATATCATGAGCCATCCAAAGTGCTGATGGCGAAGGCTGTCATAAGCACCCATTTACAAGGGATACAATTTTTCTCAGGCGAATTTCGAACAGGCCCTAAACCCTGAACTCTAAACCCTAGATACTGAACCCTGAACCTTAAGCCTTGGGTACTGCCCCCCCAAGTAACAGTCTATATTAGGGGTCCTATTAAGGGCTATATATAATCATAGTATACTTATTATCCAACTGTCACTGAGGCGGGGCAGTACCCAACCTAAACCCTTGTGGGTGATGCGCCTTTTGATATTCCTCGAAGACATGCAACACGGCCCGGCTCATGGTACAGCCAGCCGGGCCTCAGTTCAACTTTGTTGACGCTTGGAACTCCCACTTCACTTGGGGTACGTTTAAAGGATATAGAGGATATATAGGGGATATCTAGGGGTTATAGGAATTATATACGGGGATATTGGGTTTAGGGATTATATAAGGCTTCCCAAAATCAGTGGTCCTTTTTGGGCCCTGTTATAAGGAGTTTGGCAGTTTGGGGTTTACATTGGTTCCCCTATGCAGGAAAACTACCATTCAAGTTCAAGCTGAGATCTATACCAGTAGCCAGCCAGGGGGGCCAAGGAACTTGAGCCAAAATGCTGTGAATACCTGCGAATCAACGAAGAGAAGAGGTCGGTAATAAGACTTTCGGGTTTTGGGGTTTAGGGCTTTAAAGGGTTAAAGGGTTTAGGGTTTTAAAGGGTTCAGGGCTTAGGGTTTAGGATAGACGCGGGGGGTCTTGGCAGGATGTGAGAAGTTGAAGATCAGGGCAGCGAAAGAATTGGAAACTGCTTATGGTGCCCATCAGCCAGGCCATGGCTTTTTGTTCAAGGCTTCTCGTGGTTTAGGGATCATAGTCCCCCTTAAGTAGATAGAATATGGGGTATATGGTAATCTTATTATGATATACCCAAAGCCATATTCTATCTACTTAAGGGGGACTATAGGGCTTAGGTAATCCGACAATTCAACAGCCTGCAGCGGCAAAGGTCAGGCGACGTGGCCGCGGTGAGGTCTACAACTCAATCAAGGGTTCTGGGCTGTGGGGGTAGACGGGTTTGGGGTTGATGGCTTCTGGACCCTAGAGCGAGGGTTGGACTGTGTTCTAAACGGTCCCCTGGATAGGCTTACTGCTAGTTAGTAGGGAATAAGGGAATAGGTTGTATGCAGATTTGTAGGGATCATACTCCCTCCTTCCCTACTAGCCACCAGTAAGGCATAGCAGGCATCAAGGGCCGCACCCAACTTCCTCACAAGGCAGAAGCCCACGAGAGCGGCCAAACTCAGCCTGCAAACTATTATCACCACCAGTATTATTACTATTGCTATTCGTATTACTACTATTGTAACTACTATTATTACTACTGAGCTTGTACGGGGGGGATGTGCTACACAAGCTAAAGCTATGCAAGAGCAAAACCATGCAAAACCATTCAATAGAGCCTTTTGCAGCCAGTTGAAAGCCCTTTTGTTGCAGTCGCACCGTCTGGGTCCAAGCTATCAACCGGCTCCACCGCAGGCTGCCTCACGACATGATCACATGCGCTAGCAAGTTCATATCAGGTTCTCAACACCCGCACGCGAGCATCATGAGCGTGCATGGAAAGCCGCAGGTTGCCAGCTTAAGCCACTTGGAGTCTGCGCTTCTTGGGGTCGTTTCCATCCGTCCACTCGTTCCAGTCGGCCCATTCTGGTGTGGGAGCAACACCTGGATGTGGCGTGCCGGCCACAGTCAGAACCTCGTAGGCTTGTGGTTTGTTCTCCTCGTTCAACACACACGTGAAGCTGACCTCCTCGCCAGTTTGAAATGCGCCAAGCTGGATGTCTCGGACAACAACGTCCATCCCAAACGTGGCCTCGATTTCGGGGCTGGCAATGTAGCCAAAGCCCTGGGTACGGTCCACATGCTTCACCACGCCCCGGCAGCGCCGCTCCATCATGCCCCGGGCCGGGGCATAGGTCAATGCGGGGCAAGCGAAGCTCACAACTGCTGGACTTAGGGCTGGCCGAGTTCGCAACGCTTCCAAGATGAGGTGAACAGCAGAGTCGCCATCCAACGCACAAAGGAGGTCCGTTAAGGACTTAGCATCCATGTGTGCAGGCTGCCAGGCATACCATCTGAGCCCGTAGTGACAACATGTCACCAAGGATGCAAAGGCAACATGTTAGCTACAGCAGGACACACTCAGGACGTTTTAGCAGCCTTGCTATCGACAAGTTCAAGCGCAGTAGGGAAAAACTGTACTTTTTCGGGCGCATAGACTAAGAACCCCAAAGGCAAAGAAACAGGCACAGCGACGCATCAGCTGATACAGCATCATGAGCTGCGCCCAATTCTGACCGGTTCTTAGTAGGGAATAAGGGAATACACCCTCTATATGATCCCTTCATAACATATTCCCTTATTCCCTACTATTAGCCAGTAAGTTCTAGAGCTGTACCTTGGCATTGTTGTGGGTGAAGCCAAAAGCCTCGCCATCTTTCCTCGTGAGGTCCACCTCTTGCCGGCTGCACCCATGAAAGTAACCGCAGGCTTGCGACTCCAAGTCTTACTGGTTCTTGGTAACAAAAAAAAGCGAATATATTATATGGGGACTCCCCTATTCCCTACTAAGAACCAATAAGTCTTACCTTTCCTTGGAGGTCAGCATTGACAGCATCAGCTGTGCCTCCCAGGTAATGCAGCCATCCGCATCCGAGTGTTGGTTGACCTGCTTTTCTTTGGCCTGCAAACGGCATGCACAACTGAGTAGTGTTGTTTTGGTGGTTGAACCCAGTAAGAATATATTCCTTATGTAAAATAGTATACCCCAAGAGGAGGATATACTCTTACTCTATATTCGGTACCACAGTATCCCCAAATAAAATACTACTCAACTGTTGGGCTGTATCCCCCCATCATCCCGCAAGGCCTTAACATTAAGTACTGCCCATATGAGCCATTGTCTCAACCCCTAGTATTCCCCCTTAATAACCCCTATAGTAGTTCCTTATATAACCTCCTATATAGCCCCTTTAAGGAGTGTAGACTATAGCTCATATGGTATGGCATGCTATGACAGGAATATTTGATATTAGAGGGCTGGAAGTTTTAACTTTAGGGGGAGGAGATTAATTGATGCAACCCGGGCAAGAGACTTCTCAAGGCCATGCGCATCGCAAGCCTCCCTCTCTGAACGCAGCTTGGCCTCTGCTTCCGCGTGAACAAACAGTAACAGAGAATCCTACATCCCTGATTTCACAAGTCTTCATGGCAACTGAACAGAAGAGAAATGGTAGAGGGAGAGATGGATCCTACACACGATCTACTGCATGTCTGCAACTCCGCTAAGGCTTGGGCTTCCTCCGCCACCCGCGCTTCTTCCGCCACCCGCGCTTCTTCCGCCACCCGCGCTTCTTCCGCCACCCGCGCTTCTTCCGCCACCCGCGCTTCTTCTGCCACCCGCGCTTCTTCCGCCACCCGCGCTTCTTCTGCCAGCCGTGCTTCTTCCGCCAACCGCATTTCTTCCGCCAGCCGTGCTTCTGCTTCTTCCTCCAACTTTGCTTCCTCTGCCAGCCGCGCTTCCTCTGCAAGCCGTGCTTCCTCTGCCAACCTTGCGTCTTCTGCCTTCCGTGCTTCTGCAAGTCGCCGCTCTTCATGCTTTGCCTGTTCAGATTGCCAACACGCAACACCTGGCACTCGCGGGCTTCCAACCCTGCCTCATCAAGCTGCTCAGACAACAGGACCTACCAGCAAGGCAGAGTAAGTGCACAAAAAGAAGCACACATTGCGAGCTGGCTAGACAAACAATTTGCTGCTTTAACCGCCATACAATAGATTAATGGCTGTGAGGCAGACAAAGGGGGAACAAATGCAAAAACAGAGAAAGGGATGGAACCAACAGACAACATAGAAATCAGTACACAGCAATTTGTATACAGAAACAGCCATCAACCAGCTTTTTGATAAAGGAGTGCCCTAGGAGCGTAGTCTAAACCCTAGCTGCAACATCTGAGGATTTATTGCTATCTTTCTTAGGGTTTAGGGCTTCAGTTTAGGGTTTAGATGACGTAAGGGTTCCTTGTTTCTTTCCTTTTGTATGGGCTTTGCCCCGCATCTGGAAATTCCAATTCCTGGAAGACAGCAACATATGCCTTAAGTACACTTGGAAAAGCGGGCAACCCTGTTGACCCGTCATCATGTCAGCCGAGATCAACGACTCTGAAACCTCAAAAATAGATTTGACAGTCAACGGCAGAAACACAAGCTCAGTGCCTTTGTCTACACACCAACGACGGCTTGCGATGTCATACCCGAGCTTGACGACAAGCCCGCACGTGAGCAAACAAAATCGCTGACTTTTGCCTTGCATTCCCAAAAGGCCCAGGAAGGGCGCGAGGCCTGATCTACTTACTCCCCCAGTGATAATTTCTAAAGAAGCCCCAAGAGAGTGCACTTAAGCCTAGAGAGGCCTGCGTCAGCTGCCTTACAAGCAACCAGTTTCTCCTGCCAGGACCCCCCACAGTAGTGATTCAGGCACTTCCAAAGCTACCTGACCGCCCCCCGCTGGTTAGTCTAAAGCCGGGCCGTCCGAAGCTCACTCCGCCACCGAACCCCCACTTCCCAGCCTGGAATAATTCAGGTTGAGGGTCTGGGGCTTTGGTGTATGGATGAAGCTTTCTTGAGATGCTTTCGTGACAACCAAGCTGACCACCATTTGGGGTGAGGTCATGGCCGCTGGAGCTTCCCCAAACAACACCTTCGATGCCTCAAGTGATCATGCATACGCAACACTATTCAACACTCAGAAGGTGACCAGCCTCCCGGCCGCAACTCTAGAAAATCGCCCGCCAAAGACACACGAAGCCATGACAACCTAATAACGGAAAGAATCGGTGATGCGTGTCCAAGTTCATCTATGCACATGATCAATCGAAAGACTGACCCTTGAATGGACGAACTTGAACGAATTCACGAAGGGATTGACATCGCATCGCGTACGGCGTATGGGGTCCCTACTTCAAATTTCGATCTTCACATTCGGAGTCCCTTGATGTAGTTTGGATGTTGAGATATATGGCACCCTCACTTTCAGCTTGGATTTTCACGTAAGGGGTCCTTTCTGATAGTTAGGATTTGGAAATGAGAAGTCCCTACTTTGGGTATGGCTTCCCGTGTCCGTGGAGCAGGCTGCTCCAAGACTGCGTGCATCAGGCACGGCAATCTTCCAGCATCTCTTACTCCTCTTTTGGGCCTCATGTGGGTGGTTGTGAAAATTATGATCCCTTGTTGGGTACCCTAAATATGAAGTGCCGTATTATAATACGGATCCAAAAAGGGACCACAATTTTGACAACCACCGATATATGGTCATGCCCTTGCTGCCCCCCCCCCCACTCCCCATGGTCTAGGCATCCTCCTCCCGCCTTTTCTGTGGGTGTGGTTGGGGTTGACCCTCCCCCTCTGTTGGTGTGGTTGGGGTTGGGTGGGATGAAGAGACATGAGCTGAAGACGCCCGTCTCTGTAACTGTCGGCATGTTTCTAATCTCGGGGTCGTCAGCGCCAGGGAATGCATGGGCAGCAGTGTCCGTTGCGAACTTCAGTTCTTTGTCCCCATACAATCCCCATTTCCATGTCATGCTTCATGATGTTTCATGTTCTTCTCCATTTGGTTCTCCACTGCTGGGCTAGGATCCCAAAATGATTCGCATTATAGCCTTAGTCATATACCCCTAAATATCCCTATGCAATCCCCCATACGACTAAAAAATCCCTACACCAAACCCGAGAGCCTGTGAGCTATATATAGTCTAGACTCCTAGCATCAGCCCCTGTAATAAGCCCCCATAGTACTCCCTATATAACCCCGCTTTAAGGAGTTTAGACCCTAAACCCTAAACCCCGTATGGGTGGTTGTCGAAATTATGGTCCCATTTTGGGTCCCCTAAATTAGGCCCCGTATTAGGCCCCGTATTATAATAGAGACCCAAAAAGGAACCATAATTTTGACAGTCCCCCATATAATGCCCGATATAACCCAATATACACCCCCCTTTGAAGGAGTATAAACCCTTCAAGGAATCTAGACAACAGCTCCCTTGATGGCTTCATAACTCACAAAAGAGGAAAGACGCAAAGACGTCGCTGACGTCGCCTTCGAGGCCTCTTCTTCCAGTTCCAAGAGCTTTTGAACCTCCAAGGCCCACTAGGGTTGAGGGGGCCTAGGGGTCTTAGGGGGCTCGGGGGGGGTTATGGGGGTTTGGGGGGTTCTAGGGTTTATATGGGTTTATAAGGTTATATGGGTTTATAGGATCTATATGGGTTTATAGGGTTTATGCATGGGCTTTTTTCGAAGCCAGAGGACTTTTGCGTCTGCCCTGGGCACTAGGGTTTAGGGTTCGGGCTTTCCCTAAATTAGGGTTTGGAGCTTTAGCGTTACCATGGGGTGATCAGGGGAGTATATAGGAATAGTACCCTCATAATGGACAATCAAATGGCAAAGAACGTGGAAAATGAAACAGAAACTGGGAGTATATTCCTGGTTTACAGGGTTTAGGGTTTCCCAAATTAAGGGTACCATTTTGGTACCTATAGCAAGGACTATGGTGACTATGGTGTTATGAGGTCTATGTTGGGGTATCCCTATTTGGGAAAACTACCCATTTTTTCAAGTGCTAACAACCTGGCTTCGCCTAAACCCTAGATCCTAGCCCTTAAGCCCTTTTGCATCTGGTCTCCTTTTGCATCTGGTCTCCTTGCTGCCAGGCATAGGATTGTTGTCAGGCCAAGAAGCGGGTTACTAGGGCGCCACACCAATCCCTAAACCCTAAATCCTAACCCTTAAACCCGAAACCCTAACCTTTCAACCCTGAACCCTAAATCCTAGCCGTTAAGCCCTAAACTCTTTTTTTGGGAAGGGACTGGTCAGCAGAACTGGCCGCTGCGCCACAAGTGGGCACACATATACCAACACCCCTACAAGAGTGAGAACCTATCGACTGCCTCGCTCCACGAATGCCCGTAAACACTCAACAGCGGCTGAACTGTCGTCTGTGTGGACTCCGTGGCCTGCAGAAAAGACCCCTGGAATGCAGCGTACAACTGCTCCGAAACTAGCAGTTCAACGACCCAAGAGGTTTCCATCATTGGCAAATGCTGCAGGAAGTGTAGTAACTGAATGAACGGCTCAGTCTCAGCATTGCCATGCAGCATCATGTGACCCTGACTGGTATTCACCCATTGGAAAGCAAAGCAAGAAGCCGAGGAATCCCACTGAACCAGAACTCCCGTCAACCACGCGATGCCATGCCCCAAAGCGTGTCCCAACCCCGGCCAGGAACATTCCACCGCCACATGCGGAGTGGGAGCGTAATACTGCACCACCTTTTCGGCATGCCGCGACCACGCATCACGGTCTCGCGCTAACTCGTCAGCATCACTTTGTCCCCCAGGCGGCGGGAGAGCTTGAAGCATCTTGGCACCCCACTGATACAAATGGTGCCATGGTGCTGGAGGCCTCATAGGGTACCTGGGGTTCTGCATCACCCATCGTGCACGGACATCAGGCGTGCCTTCGGTGTCAGGTTTCCTGAGGTGGTGCCCCAAATAACCCCATTTTCTCTTAAACAAGCAAACGACCCATGAATACTGTGGATATTTGTCGAGAAATGTGATGATGGCGCGTCTTTGCAATCTTAGAACCCAGTGAGCAGATGAAGGGGACAAATGCATTGGGATACCGAGCTTGAGAGCAAAGATGAGGGTATAGTTCTGTAGCGAGACGATCTTCTGGATGGCGTAATTGAAAGGCTCAATGAGAGGCGCAACTCAAAACCAAGCAGAAGCAATATATCTAGTGACAAGTTGAACTGCATGTAGCGGCCTGCTCCAATGGCATAGATTGAGTAGGGACCTACGAGCCTCAATTTTGGCATGAACTGTAGTTTGCACATCTCCCAACAAATTATCAGTGATAGTGCAGCCAGACCCTAAACTCTAACCCTTAAACCCTAATAAACCCTAACCCTTAAACCCTAAACCCGAACCCTTAAACCTAAACCCTAAATCCTAACCCTAGACCCTGAACCCCCGAGTTTTGGGACCAGCTCTCAGGGAATGTTGATGCGCGGTGCAGGACTTCAAGCTGGGGGCTTCTCTACTCCGCTTCATGTTCAAGCTGTTTTCGAGGAGTTTTCCTTTGTACCCCTAGGGTTGGTACCCTTGGGTTTGGCCCCTAGACTTAATAAGGGTATCCTAAAATTACAAACATTAAGGGTACAAACTTAAAGTCTTGGATGTTAGTGCAGGCCCTTGCAAGCCTTTCGTTGTACCACGATTCCCAATGTTTAGGGTACTTAGGGTCATGCAGGATTTTTGGTAGCCACCCTGAACCCTAAGCCCTAAACCTCATAAACCCTGCATAAACCCTCAACCCTACTCAAAGCCTACAACCTAAATCCTATGAACCCTACACCCCATAAACACCAGACCCCATAAACCCTTAACCATCAAACCTCAGCCCA